TGAGGCAATATCCAGCTGCCTATAGAAGGCCTCATCAACCTCCTCGTCTTGGTCAGGTGGCCTGTAGCAGACACCCACCACAGTGTCTCCCACATTAGCCTGCCCTCTAATCCTTACCCACAAGCTCTCAACTCGCTCATCCTCGACTCCCAGGTTGAGCTCCATGCATTCCAGTTGCTCTCTCACATAAAGAGCAACTCCTCCACCTGGCCTTCCCAGCCTGTCCTTCCTAAAGAGCACATAGCCTTCCATGGCAGCGCTCCAGTCGTGTGAGGTATCCCACCATGTCTCTGTGATTCCAATGAGATCATGATGCTGGGACCGCACACAGATCTCCAGTTTGTCCTGCTTATTCCCCATGCTTCGTGACAGGGGGCTCGGCCTGCTGGCTCTGCACACACTGGGCTGCAGCAGCCAGGGCTCCTGGTCTCTTCAGGAGCTTGTCCTAGCTGTTGATTGGGAATGGTTGAATTGCAGCAGGATGTAGTGATGGAGCATTTGACCCATTCCCATATTGACTCATGTCAACAGGAAGGAGGAGGCTGAAGTAGCTGTCCTAACTCTGCAGGAGTAGGTTTGTTGTGGGCACTGATGCCTGAGGACAGCTGTTTGAAAGCCCTTAGGAGGGAAGAACTTTTCTTCAAGGTGGCTTAACCCTTTGGTATTTGTGCCTGGAGTTATGTCCCCTTGAAGGGAGCCCTGTCATTGCAGATTGCAGCATTTCTGATCCCATAGATGATGCTTCTCTCCCTCTGGATCTTGGTGTTCTGCATGGGATTCAGTACTGCAAGGGAATTATCCTAATTCTGATCGTGTCTGCTTGCAGTCAGCAGGGGTTGTGTTTCTTTCTTCGTGCGCAGAGGTAGAGGATGGTGACCACAGTTCTTGGCCACATTCCTGTCAAATTTCCCCTGCCGTTTTGATGGTGTTGGAGTTCCTTGTTCCCTACCCTGAACCACTCTGTGGCATTATTTGGTGCTATGAAACTTTTAATCTCTTTTCCTGGGGGAAGGCAAATTACCTGCACTGCGTATTAGAGCCACTCTCTGCTCTGACAGACCTAAGCACCATATGCTTAGGACTACTGCTTCGATTTATGTTCCCAGTCCCCGTTGGATTTTTAATGCATGGTCTCTGAGTGTCCCTGTTTGAGTTTCTTGTTGCAGGTCTCTTCCTCGTCTCCGTCACCAGAATTGGGGAAGGCTGTGGAAGGTGTCTCTTAAAGGCAGGTTTATTTTTGTGTTTAGCCCCTGCGGGTGGGTAACATTAGCCCAGGTGCTGGGTGCTGTTCAAGGGAGCCTTAAACTGCTCCAACCTTCAGCTTCCAGGGCTTGACCACTTCATGATCCACTGGCTGTGCTCTCCCACCACTGCCTTGCATCTCCCCTGCCCCGTGGACCCCTCTTGCTTCATTTAGCTGATGAAAGCAGGACTTAGTTTGCAGCTGGCTCCCTGCCCGGTTCCGTGAGTAGCAGTGCTGGTGTAAGGAAGTGGATAGGAGCGTGTAGTTGGGCACTGTGCTGAGAAAGAATGTGGTAGCCTACGCTTGGCTTAGGCAATCCTACCTTTAAAATGGGTTGTGTGCTCTATTTTGGGTCTGTTTAGTGGCCAGATGGTTCTCAGGTACTGAGTGGGGCTGTGCTGATGAGTGAGGGAAGCACTTGTATGTAGAGAAGGGACGTGCGCTGAATTTTGATTTAACATGCAAGAGAAGTCCAAGTAACACCCGCTGCCAACCCCTAAGACTGTGGCCCAAATAGGCCTTGTTGTAACCTCACAACCTGGTCAGGAATTTGCTGCTTGAATGTGTTTGTGCTGGCAGAAATCCTTACTATCACTAATACTGTGATGCTGGCCCGTGACGTTGCTGCTGCTGCCACCCAGGCCCCTGGGCGCCGTTCTCTTCTGTCCGGGACTAGCTGCTCTTTACATGGCTGCTGTCGTGCCGAAGAGCCTCCGGGCACCCTTTGTGTGTGGTCAGAGCACTTGGCCAGCACTCAGGCATCCTTTTCCCAGGTCTCCGGTCTCCCTCTGGAGACATTCCAGGCTGGCTGTGGGTTCGTAAAGCCCAGGGATGCTGGGGCAAAATAGAGAAGAGAGCTCTACCTCTGTGAAAACACGCACACATCTCACCAGAGACTTATGAGGCAGTGTTGAGTCCCCACTGCAGATTATAAATTCTGACTTTTAAAATCAAAATTAGCACTCTTTTTTTTAACCATTTCCTGCTCTAGTACATCTGGACCCAGATTGAAAAGCTACAGGCTTCTCTGGGGGACTTCAAACACTCGTTCTGCCTACTGATGCCTAAGTCTCCTCTCTGGAAATAAGGTAGTCTCGTCCGCCCAGTGCCACCATGGGGATCTAGCGATGCAGGTCGCTTCTTCAGCTGAATTTGTTACCACTGCAGTCATGCCAAGGAGCAAGGACTGGCTCCTCATTGCGCTCGCTGCTCTGCCAAGGAGCCTAGCTGCTACACCAAAGAACTTAGATCCAAGACGACAAACTGTCCAAGGACTGGGGATGCTCTTTCTTTCTTTCTTTCTTTGACATTTTTAGTCTTCAGCAGCCATCCCTGAACTGCCTTCAAGCCACTTGACTGCTGTTCTTCTGGATGTGCCGGGATGATCCTGAGGTGGCCACCAGAACCTGCTGGCTCTCCCTTGGCACCCTGGTGAGAGCTGCGCACTCGGACACAGTCCTGGCCTCCCTCCTCTCCCTGCTCCCAGCCACCTTCCCAGGGCTTCACTGCTCCCTGAGCAAATCCAGGTTGGATGCCCTTGAAGGTGGTTGGAGAGTAGGCCAGGACTCTGGGGCAAGATCCAGTCTCTCAGGCTTCTCTCTTGGTGTCACGGTTCCAAGACAAACCAGCCCTGGAGGCAGATGCTCCAGGTGGTTTATTTCCAGTCTGTGTCTCCCTTGGGTGCACATGACACAGGAGGTGGCACCCTCAATGTGTGTGTGGAGAGGTTTCCATCCCGCGCTCCTCAACAGCCGCTGCCCCTCCTGCGAGGGTATCCGCCCCCTCCTTGACAGTGGCTCCCACCTGCTCCTGAGGAGGGAAATCTCCCCTGGGATCCTTCCCTGGTGCCAGGCTGGGGCCGGGACACTACACACCTGGCGTGGGGGAGCGTTGGAAGCGTTTGTGTCTTGCTTGCACTGCCTGGAAAACGTCTCCAGAAGCCCATGACCACTGTGAAGGGCTGGGGCTCCTGGAGGCTGTTGCTGCCACCTGTGAGGCAATGCCAAGAGATGCCACTGCTTCAGGCCGTCAACGTGGTGTGTCTCAGTCCCCGGCTGTTAGCATCTGATTGCCTGTCCTTTGCTTCATCCTGTCTATTCTTCCCTGGTTGTTTCATTTATTTACTCCAAGGAACTGTCATGTTCTTAGCGTTCGTGGCTCCCCTTCCTCTTGGGAGCAGTGCGGGCAGTGGTCGGGAACAGGCTGCTCTGTCTTCCTAGGGCTGACTTGACTTGCTACCCGCATTGCAATAAGATTGTTTTTTATTTTATCAACCTCTCTGTGCCTCGGTACCCGCTTTGGGAATAAAAAAGGAAAAAAAGGGGGGAAGGACCCAGTTCTTGAAAGCAGTTTGAGAGCTTTGCATGCGAAGTGCTCTTAAAGGTGCTAAGCTCTCCTGTGTATCTGGTTAACGCTTTCATTCCCCCGTCAGCAATGAAACCCACACGGTGGAAGTGATTCTTGAGTTTCTGCTCCCGGTGGAGCCTCTCTTTTCCTTAAAAATAAATGAATAAACAACCAAACACTGAACAAGTTCGTAACGTTTATTCATCTGACAGCAAGGGATGGGCAAGCTTCGGGCTGCACAGCTGCAACACCCCTCGCTGCAAACACCCGGTGAGAGCCGGAGCCGACAGACTTTATGTGGGGAGCTGGAGGGGGCCGGCTAGGCCCGCGGTGTCGCTGTCGCCTGCAAGTCCTGCTGCTTCGCCCAACGAGGCCTTTCGGCCCCCCTCGGCCACCGCCTCGCCTGCTGCCGCGCGCTTGTCCGTCGCCTTAGCGACCGCCGCTTCCC